GCATCGTACAACGCACCTGCCGTGCTGGGCGGATGTGTGCAAAAACAAAACAAAAAAAAACTGACCTCACGTGGAGAGGATTAAGCAGAGAGAAACATATTAATCATGCAACGCCGCCGCGCAACACGAACACCGCCAAGCGCCGCCCCCGCAAGGGAGTTTAATCACCGTGTTTGAGCGCAGTTGTCCCTCGCGCTGCCTCTTGAGCTCCTGCCGCGTAAGAGGAGGCACCCCACCCCCACCCCACCTCCCACACACACACACACACCCCGCCCACACATCGCAATAGGGGTGTTCCGCCCTTCGCCCCGGGCCTTGCGTTTCCTCCTTGGCCCCGCGGTGTGCTCGTGCACGGGCGGAGGCTCTTTCCTCGCCAAAACCCCGCACCCGCAGCGCCCAGCTCGAAACGGCGAGTCTCCTGACAGATCCTCGCTCTCACCGAGCAGCCTTGCTCGCGGAGGGGCCGGCGGCGGCGTGCCAGTCCGGACGGCGCTCAGGAAGAGGCAAATGGGGAGCGACTTCGGTTGGGAAGGTGCAGGAGCCAGCCGGCGCACGGCCCCCGGCTCGGGTCCTCGTCGAAGCATGTGTCGCAACACGGCCCAGCGACGGCTAAGCGCCGGAACAGGCACTGTGAGTAGGGCCTGTGCGCGGGGCGGTGAGGAGGCAGAGGACGTCTGTCATCATTCAGGCCCCGCGCGGTGCGGAACGCGTTGGCGGGGCAGCGCATAACCCGCGCAGGGTGTCTCACTTCCGCCCCCATGCACGCAACGGAATCGCGGCCCACCGAATTAAGCGGCGACCCGGTGCCAGATGCAGGCGGACGCCATGGGCCCCGCTCGTGCCACGGCAGTTTCGCAGCGTGGTGGGCCAAAAGGCAGGGAAAAGCGCCACAAAAGCCGCGACACCCACAGAGGAGCGGCTCCGCGACGGCAAGCCCCGGTGCCGAAGAGAGCGTGACTCGCGTCGCCAGCGTCGGCCCCCACAAAGAACTTGTTGGCCTACTCCGCTGCAGCCTTTAAAACGGCGGCCGCGGCCCCCCCAAAACCGGCCCACTGCGGCAGCGGCGTTGGCGCACCTTGCCTCGCAGCGATTCACCACGGGCAGAACTCTGCGGCATCCGCCCGCCCACCGATCGCCCGCACGGAGATGCATTCCCC